GTATTTATAGATCGTTCTGGACTCTCGCGAGTATTTATAGATCCTCGATCGTGTTGTTTCCTTTCGGCCGTCGAGTCCGGTAGGCGGATAAGGAAAGCTGGTACGGATCATTCCGGAAGATTTCCATGAGAAAATCGGTGTCGCGAATATCCGTTTTTTTTTTTTTTTTTCCGTTGCAGGTATTTTTATCGTCGACGCGTATTAGTGGGTGAACACGTACGAACACTTGCAGCGTATAAAACTCGATGGAATAGAACAATAACCTTGAGACACGCGGCAAAAGTCCTACTGTCCTTTGACTTGGTTCAACACGTTCGCTTCGCGAGTCAGCGGGTATGATCTATTGCGAAAATGATGCAGCTGTTCGCTATGTAAATCAGCGTGGAACGATGCACGGTACGTCAAATACCTTAGTTGAAAATGTCATATATTCAGAGATGGAAGAATCGAACACGAATTTTGAAGTTTGAATTCGCGTGTCAGTTTCGATGGAATGCTCACGACAGCTAATGCTTTTGTAAATTCTCTTCAATCACGGGCGATTCTTCCAGATATTTCGAACAGAACCTACTAGCCTGTTCAAGCCAATTTCGCCTCGGAATCGAGTTAATTGTAATTTGCTGCAAATCGCATATTGGCGGCAGCGCGTCGCGACGATATTGTCGTACGGTAATCACGAAAGTGTTTTCTATTTCTGGAAGTCGTTGGTTATTTATAAACCGGCCGTCGGTTTATTAGACTGCGTGCGTAGAGTGTGGCGTGTAACCAGCCTAGGAAAGCGAGATCTTACGTGAAAGCCGTTAAGGCCGTTTTCAAGCTGGCGCCCGCTTCGCCCGGAGAGAAACCGAGACCGTGCGAGGATCCACCAACGCTGCGGTTCTAAAGGTCGTGGAAATGTCAATAAACGAGCTTCGGCAAGGACGTTGCGAATCGCGTACAACGATTGTGCGTTTTCGCGAACAATCGCGCCGCGAGCGTGGAATTCGCCTCTCTGCGACTCTGTGCCGATAGAATTCGCCTTGCGTCACGGGACGTTTATTAACGTCTTTGATTAATACCCGGTCGTTTGTTTCAGCCGGAAAAAATTACAGAAAATTGTAGATTTTTTTTTTTTCATCTCTTGATTACTCGTATCTCCCGATGTAGGTAAATCGAGTCGTTCCGACGCTCGATGGGAAGGATTTTTGCTTGGCGAAACATTCCCTCGTAACTGGTGTAAAATCTGGCTGAAATCCTAAATGGAGAAATTTTACCGATTTTAGCGATTCCACACGTGCATCACGTGCTTGTTCCGTCTATTGACAGTCTTAGGTTTGCGTTTCGCGCGTTCACAATTAGCGACCACGTCGATACCGTTGAACGGGGTTACTATTTGATCAAGTGATTCTGTCTGGCTGCTGTCCCATTCTCAGAACTCAGAGCCTAGCACAGAACTGTTTGATTTTTCACAACTTCCACAAACTCGTTTTTAACTGCGCCGATGGTCCGTGATGAAACGTCATCGAGCATTCACGTACGATTCATTGCGGAGCATATATAATTTAGCGCGATCTGTTCTGCGCGAGCGTTAAAATCACCGAACGGTTCAGAGGAAACTCGTCTAGTGAATCATGGTTTTTCCAAATGGAAATAAATCATCGCTCGTCGAGATGATAAACAGTATTTAAAACATTGCAACGACGTAATGTTGACAGAAAAAATTTACACGAACGAGCAAGAACAGACGAATGAACTTTTTGCCATTTCTTTCAACGGTTCGACGTTCGTATGTCCACACGGTTAGAGCACGGTATCGGTATCTAGCTAATAATAGTACAATTGAACGGTACACAATAAACGTGGCACGATGTAGGGGCATTCGGACACTAGCGTTTCGTTTGGTCGTAAGCGACAACTGGAACGAGAATCCCGTGGCAGTGAGGCACAGAGGCAGCGTGCAGCGATATTCCACGTAACGTGCGTGTAACGTTACGGCTAAAATCAATGTATCGACGACCTTATTTCCTTAAAATGTACAAGCAAGCGTTGACCGAACACCATTTCTGTGCTAGCGGGTTTTACGTGCTCCGCTACTGTGATTCATATAACCGTACGTTCTGAGGGAAAAAAAATCAGGACAATTTCAGTCTCGATGTGTTCCACGACCATCTAACGTGTCGCTCGTAAATCGAACGACAAATAAAAGAATAAAAAATTGAAACAAAGCGAAGCAAAATGAGGAAAATGGAGCAACGATCAGAAGAGTCTAAACGTTACTGGTTTTCCTTATTTTCCGCACGTGCGTTTGCAGAATCCTTGTCCAAGGACTTTCTCTCTCTCTCTCTCTCTCTCTCTCTCTCTCTCTCTCTCTTTCTGCTTCTCCACCTATGCAGCCGGGGCTCTAAATCGAGAACACGGTACATCGAGTCGAAAGTTGAATGTTGCACAACGATCCACTGGTCGCAATATCGCAATATCTTCGTCTTACATGGCACGCCGTCTATGTAAACTGTCTAGAAGCGTGCTCCAGTATCTTGGAACGCTCGGCTCGGACGCACGCGTGTCGAAAGTTTCGCTCGGTTTACTATTTTCATACGACTCTGCTCAAAATACCGATCACGAATCACGGATCACGGAATTTGGTAAGACCACGGCAGAGTTATGTCTTCGCGTTCACGCGAGCGTGTGCGAATTTTAGCCGGAGAGAAGACCGTCTCGTCCTCTCTCGTGGCCAGCGTGAAATTAATCCATCGTAAGGAAAGTGAGAGCACCACCTTTTCGATGGCTCCGCGTTCCATGTGTGTGTGTGTGTGTGTGTGTGTGTATGTATGTACGTATGTATGTGTGTGTGTTGCGAGTCGTCCGTAACCTGCGGTGTTTTCTATCGTTTCGAGTTTCGACACGACAATGCCGTGATAAAAGAGCCAGAGTGTGACAAAGTGAACGAAGGAACAAAGTGCAGTGGTGTTCCAAGAGCCGACGAGGTCGAGCATAGAGCAGAATGAAAACAGCCTAAGAACGACGGAGCTTGGTGAACTTGTTGCTAAGGCCTCGCTCTTTCAACCTGTCACGCTGTCACCAAACTTCCGACCAATCGCGATATATATACGTTCTCGTCTGAGGTTCTCGCGAAGAGAATCGATCTTAAATCGACTAAATGTAAACTCACTTGACCAGGATCCTCCAGAAGCAGCCGAAGCTGGAGCCGTTTGGCACTTCGCTCGCGTACGATATAGTCATTTCCTGCCTGACCAGGTGTACACCTTTCCTGCCGCGTTTCTATCTTCTTCCTCTGCTTGTTTCGATTTCTTCCGCCACTTGTACCTTGTGTCGTTCGGCTTAGTTGGTATCTCGCACCGTCTCGTTGGTGTTTCCGGTGGAGAAGCTTTACACTCGCGCACATACGGCGCGCGGGCCGCCGAGTCTTTCGCCGATCCTTGACGATCGAGGTCCGATTACCGGATTCTATCAGGTGTTTTACGTTCGGCTTACCATCAGGACGCTTCTAACACGATTAGACGGAACCAGCTGACCGGACGGACCGACTGTCTGCTAACTGAGCTCCACTGACAGACGACAGGACCAACAGAGAACGGGGCCCGAACCACCTCCACTTGGGCCTCAGTGCCGTGTAAACCTGCCCCGTTGCCACGCTCGTTCGTCCGTCGTTCCGTACGCACGAGCCGAGAACTTGTCTCTTTTACTGTATTTGATCACGATACTCATACTTTCTTATTATAATTTATTTTAATTTTGACGAGACTTTGTACCAGTGGTAAAAGCGGTCGTAATGTCGACAACATATTCGTGGTATGAGTTGACGTAATAACCGTGTCAACGGATATGTTAACACGTTCGAAAGCTTCGTTTTTAAATTAAAATTCGTCGGATTCGTCCGTACTCGACTCTCGAGCGAGCGAAGGTTCGCCAAGTTTATCAATGCCGCGAATTCCATATTCAATTTGCCAAGGAAACAGGTTGTCGTTTGTAAAATATTTCCCTCGTTAATTACGATTCCTGGAGATACGTCGAGGTCCCGGGGCACGTGTCCAGTCCGAAACGATCGTAGGAATTTCTATTGGTCGACAAAAGTATTCGCGCGCGCTCGCACGCGTTACGACACTATTCACGAAGAATTCTTTTAAAAATCAATGACACGCCTCGCCTTTCAAATGAATCTGCTTTCGAACCAAGTAAAAGGAGAGCGTATTCTAGAGACCTAGAGTTTTCTTCTTCGCTCGATATCAACACTATTTACGATTTTTACAATCGTTTCGCCTCTCCTTCCTACGTTTTTTACGTCAGCCGCGTCACGTTAATTTTTAAATGAGACTCGCTCGAATGACGTCTTAGAATCGTCAAACTTCTTGGTAATCCGAGAAAGCTTTGCGATTGCCAATCGATTTCGAAACGGTGGGAAATTTGATTCGAAGAAACGCTGCTCTTACGACGGCACTGTTGAACGTTTGAACGCCGTAACATCGCGGTTCATGTGGCTATCGCCTTACCCGAGCATTTCAACGCGACATCTCGTGGCCGATTTTCGCACTGTTCTCTCACCTTGCCGTGGCCTAGCCTGCGGCGCAATCACGACCTTCTGGTACCATCCACCGGTCACCTATCGCCTTTTTCACGCGCGCCACAGGGAAACGCACCCATACGCGGTTGCGCTGCTATTGACATCCAGCGAGGAAAACAGATTCTCGATGCCAGCGAAAGAAATACGTGTATAAAAATACCAACGCTCTTTTTGTTCGAGAAAGTATCGTTTCAAGAATGAGTTCTGGAAATTATACTTGTGCAAATTTGATCAGATACTGTGGTACTCTTGGAAGATCTCTAGATAGGTCAACGACCGGCTGAAATCGACGTCTGTGATTCACCGTTGAGAAAAGAAAAAAACTCATGGATAGAAAGAGAAACTTTGTCATTGCACGCAATTTGCGATTTCAAACGAAAATCGATTTAGGGAAGTAGCCGATATTATCTTTTCTTTTTTTTTTTCCCCTGTAGAAACAATCGATCGAAAATTATAAAATGTCTAATATTCGATCATTGATCGAGCATCGTTTAGACGCGATATATTTAACGATATACTTTTTCTAAGAAGAATCTTCACAATGAAATGACACGATGTTAATTAGAAGGATGACTTGATAAATCACATTTTGATATCCTTTTGCACGTTGTACACGATATTCGCCGACGTTTGGAACAGCTTTTTCTCAAAATCGGTGATACGCATTCGTACGATATTTGTAATGCCGTTCTCACCTATAGTACAGGGTAGCGACAGGAACATATCGTGACAAACTTCGTGATGACCCTTCAAACGAAATTTTTCCAAAAATGTTACTGTGACACGTGCTAGGGCCCGATGAGCGAGAGTTATAAAGTTTAGATTAATTCGTTCTAAGCTCAAGAATAATATAGTTATGTCTGTACTTGAACCAACGTTGAAACCGGTATAATCTTCTGCGAGTTGTTGATGATAGCCGCCACGATGCTGCCAACCGAAAGGCCCACCGCCGTGTTGCTATATCCCTTTAGGCATCTCACCGTGGGACCACTGAAAGATCGTTTACCAACCACTTCTTTCGAGAACCCATTATCACGTAATTTCTGTGAAACGTAAACTCACTGTCTGATCACTTCGTTGGAAATTTCGTACCATCTCTCCTCGTCGGTTTCGAGGCCGATATTTGGCAGGATATCGCGAAATTGCACGCCCGCGACATTCACTCCAGACCAGAGTGGAACTAGGAAACGTCGAACGTAACATTTAAACAGACGCGACACGTAACGCAATACGTGCTTTCTCCTCCGACGAAATATAAAAAATTAGATCACGTAGAGCCTGAAACGTGGACGCGATTTCGAACTCACCCTGGCTCTCCCCGTGTTCGCCGACGATGTACCCGTGAACCGAGCTCGGCGCTATTCCTAAACGGTCGGCGATTAAGTAACGAAACCTTGCCGTGTCGAGATAAGTTCCACTTCCGATTATCCGACCGACCGGCAATCCGCTCACTTTCCACGTTACCCACGACAAAATGTCAACTGAAAGCAAGAGCATCGTCTCATACTCGCGGCTTTCTTAGCATTGTCCTATCGATATATTGTTCAGCTTTTTTTCTATACTTTCTAAGCGATACTTAACCTGGGTTACTGACGATCACGAACACAGCGTTCGGACTGTAACTAACCAATGTCGGTACTATGTTCTTGAAAATCTCCGAATTTCGGTGAACCAAATCTAACCGCGTCTCACCCTTCATTTGCTTCACGCCCGCAGTTATGACGACCACTTTAGAGTTGCTCGTGATACAAAAGTCTGTAACAACAATTTCTTGTTGCTTCTCGTCTCGCGAAAGTCGCCATTGTGTTAAACGATTTGCTATTTTTAAAGTAAACATCGTTACCTGTGTCGAAATCTATGTGCGGATTTCCTAAAAATACCGAGCCGTGGTTAAAATCCATTCCTTCTCCCTCCAGCTTCTTCGGGAATGCATCGACTATCGCGACGTGCGGGGTAATGTTCTGCGATAAGGCAACAGAAAAATTACAAACCAAGCGATTTGACCGTTCGGATTTCCATCATCGAGAATGCACGTCCACATGCAACACGAGAACATTTTCCAGAACTTTCAGCATGTTTCTGGATCGTAATCATCGCGAATTTAATCCACGCGCGACGTGCATCGAATGGTCGTTAAAAAATTCATCGAACGATAGAAACACGGCGCCTGATATACCTGTAAGAGAAGAGAGTTTACGCAGGCTACACCGACCATTCCTGACCCTACGACCGTCACCTTGTGACAGCAATCTCGCACCGGTTCCGCAATTTTGCACAACAGCTCTTCCCTCAAACATGGTGGCCTTAAATGAAAAGTTGTATTATTATAGCACTTCGATACGATATTTGTGGATATCTTCATTGAGTTACGGCGATATGAAACGATTGATAATGAGTTTGCGGTTGGAAGAGGTACCGTTCCAAGATCGATTCCTCTGAATTCTGAATTTTATTTCTCAACTTGTTCTTTTCTCATATCAAAATAAATCTCAAAGGAATAACTTGAGATAGGCGTTTCATGGAGACTCAACCACGTTTGACTCGACGTAGAAGGAAATCAGCAGTCAGTAGATAAGGAGAGTAGTAGCTCGCTTACACGAAACTGACCGCTTTCTGTAAATCGCTTCCAGTGGTGTTGGCGTCTTTGCTAAAATCGGCTGACGTGAATTTCTTTGTCTTTCCACCGGCGAAAACCTCCTTTAATATGGTTGGCGGTAAATCACGACGAAAGTGCTTGCTGGCCAAGCTTCTCCTCGATATCTGGCACATTGTACATTTCAGGCACGTCGGCAGCGACGAAATGGACAGCATGCGCGACACAATCATTGCTTCTGACACCCGATGATTTTGTTCAATTCTCGTGGTACCTCTATCACGGATGTCACATCGCACACCGTTAATTGGTAGTCCACAGAAAAGAAGGCGCTGTCAAGCATAACGCCGTCTAGTGAATCGCCATTGCGTCGATTTATCAATTGTTAAACAAATCCATGGTTACAGGGAATTCGAATTTGAGGACGCACGATTGCGGTAAATTCGTTTTCTAACAACGAGTGATCGTAGAAAAAAATTTTGAAAGAAAGAAAAATAACGTCTTTATTTGTTTGTTTGAAATTAATATTGACTTGCTAGAACATTGATATAAATATACAAGACAATGGTTTGGTATCTCGGATCGTAACATTCTAAATTTCATACGAAAATACAAATCAGTCTTTATACATGTTTCGTGAGGTAGATATTGATTATTTTGAAAATTGCCTGACACTATAATGAGTCAATTTAGTTTTCTATTTTAAGTTCTCTCTGACTGTTGTGTCAGTGTTAATTGCATACCGTACGTATTTGTACTGTGGCTTATCGATTAAGTATCCTTGTCTTGCGTCAAATTATAATTTCATGCATACGTAGTATAATTATTGTATCATATAACACATGTATGATAAAACATAATTAATACGTCATAATATCGTATTAAATCAACTGAATGCGAATATTAAACATCGACAACATACAATAGTAATACTTTATAATCACACACCTTTTTCGCAAAAGATCACGTCAACTATTGAGTGACTTATAACATGTTTTTTGGCGTGTTTGAACGTACAAATAAAATTTAAATATTTTTAGTAGCACTCTCAAGTGTCGATTATGCAAACTTAAGTTAATAGTATAATAAAACGTAAATAGAAACCAAAGATGCTTGCCAAAGCAAAAATGCGCGCATTGTTACACCATTTAGTTACACGCACGCGGAATTTAATCACGAGATAATCGAGATCGCGCGTCTAGGAGAGAAAATGAGATCCGTAGGCGCGCGAAGCGGAACGAATTATTTAAAATTTCAAGTCCTTTTGCACTTCGTGCATCATGTCGGCGGACTTTTGCAAAAGGGCCGTCTCGCTTTCTGTCAACTTCTGTTTCACGATACTCGAGACACCTCCTTCGCCCAAGGCGCACGGCAGAGACAAGAACACGTCATTCTCGATTCCGTGATATCCCTGAAAATAATCGAAGCGTCAAGCACATTGTCCAATAATGGGGACGATAAGTTTGGCAACAAAATAATTTTTTGAGTGTCTAGACGTCTCAACAACTCGTTTTGTAATCCACGAAAACGATACGAAAATCACGCGCTACTTATGTAAGAAACACGAGTTATCGACTTACGGTAACCATAGTAGATACAGCGTGAACTTGGTTGGAGTTTCGTAATATAGCGGACGCGAGATTCGCGATGCTCAGGCCGATGGCCCACGATGTGTAACCCTTCAGCTTGATCACTTCGTACGCGCTATCTACCACCTGCTTGTGCAGTTCACCCCAATTCTCCGTGTCCTTGTCCGAACCAATGTTCTCGTTCAGATCGCGCAATCTGACGCCAGCGACATTCACTCCGGACCACACCGGTACTGAAAACAACAACGAAACAAACATTAGACATCAAAATCAGTCGAGACAGATATATCTCACTCGTGGTCCACGTGAAAATTTACTAAAATCATCAAGTTCGATAACGTGACATTCGATTTTCGCGTGTACCATTATCGCAGATAACAGTCAGGTGTGAACATTGGAAGAGCAATCAGAATATTGCGCCTTAACGTACCACTCGTGTCGCCGTGTTCTCCGATAATCCAACCGTGGCAGGATGTAGGCGCGACATTCAATCGCTGTGATAAGAGGAAACGGAATCGGGCGGAGTCCAAATTGGTACCACTTCCGATCACCCGGTTCTTTGGCAAGCCCGAAAGCTTCCACGCCACGTAAGTCAGAATGTCTACTGGGTTCGAGACGACCAGGAGAATCGTTTCCGGGCTATATTTGATCAGCTGCGGAATGATGCCTTTGAAGATGTCTGTGTTCCGTTGAACGAGATCCAGCCTCGTTTCGCCTTCTCTTTGACGAGCACCAGCCGTCACCACGCACAAACTCGAGTTCGCTGTGGCAGAGTAATCGGTGCTTGCGTTGATTTTTGCGTTCTTCAGGAATGCGCTGCCGTGTTGCAAATCCATCATCTCTCCCCTCAGCTTATCCTCCATTACGTCCACGAGAACCAAGTCGCTCGTAACATTCTACGGTGTAGAAAGATTTTAAACGCGAGCTCAAGCTTGTTGTTTAATAATTTTCAAATATTTACAATTTTTTTTAGTTTTTAGAAATGTGAAAACTTACGTCCGACAAGATGCTAAAGGCACAAGCCATACCGACTTGGCCAACGCCTACCACGGTGACTTTGTTCCTTCCGGTGGAAACCGGCTCTATCACCGCATTTAGTAATTTATTTTTCAACAGTGCCATTCTCCTGGAAAAATATTCGATGACTTTCATTTTGGTTTGTGGTTTGCTGATTTTTTCCATTTCCGAGCTCTTTACACGGATACATCGATGAAGGTCAAAAAGGTCACGCAACGCGCTCATACTATTACGCAGAAATTTGACAAACTGTCGATGCTTACGTGTAGAGTCAAGACGAGTATTTTTTTTTATGTTGCAATCGAAATCACGCTTCGTTCAAAGAAAGAATAGAGGAAGAATATTTCAGAAAGAATTAAGTGCATTAGTCATAAGAAAAAGTGAGATAGAGAAAACGAAGTTAATTAGTAATTAATCGCAAATGTACACAGCAAGAATCAGGAACAATTCTTTTGCAACTTTTTTCTGTGATAAAAAGCTAAGAAGCAAAAGTCTTCTTGGTTCATAATGTTATCTATTTGATTACTATATACATTACATCAGTGGTTCTTAACCAACGTTCGTCGTTGGAAAAATTAGATGGAACTCTATAAAACTCCAAACGTACTGTTGGAAAAATTAGATGGAACTCTATAAAACTCCATTAATTTAAAGTATTTCTTGGAAAGATAATATTACTATTTTTACGTGCTCCTTTCCCTCGTTATTGTGTAATAAAGTGCTATATTGAATTTTACAACTCAAAAACGAGTAGTTGGCTTTATTCCAAAAGTCAACTATATTTTTTCCATTATATTCTGGGAGTGTCGTTACTGATGCTTTTGCAGAATTTCTTGAAAACGATACTTGGTATACTAATGTGGCCTATTTAGCTGACATTTAGTACTATAGAAAAAAAAAGAAAAATATATAGAAAAGTATAGAAAATTACGAATAAATACGAAATCCATTTGGAACAGTCAGTGCGTCGAATTATGAACATTTGTCATCAAAAATTACCTTGTACAAATGAGGTTCTCTGAAATCAATTTTGAGTTATAGTTTTCACGAATATATAATTCCTTTTAAATTAATTTTATATAATTTGTAATTTATAACTTTTTTAGTGGAAGATATGTCTGTGCCTATTTTTACTGTTAGTTTTATAAACTAAATAATTTTGATATACTGTTATATATATATATATATATGTTTATATAAATTTTCTTCAAAATCAAAAATACTACATCGAACAAGTTAAGAACCACTGTATAACATGAATGAAACGATGATAACAAAACGTGAGTAATACGCAAACTCGTAAGATGCCACTAGCAGTACGTGAAGCACGTGTACCGGTGCTCGCAGGTATACATGTGTACTACAATAATGCATGCTATACGAAAAATCGCAAACAGCTACTCAAATAAATCAAACTAAAAACTACAAACTGCGAACAACACTGAAGAGAGATTTTAGTACCCATCACCAACAAAAAACACTGGCAATATGAGGCAGTAAAATTTATGAGAGTGGCTGGCACCAATTGAACAATCGTTCGAAGTAACTGCGTTCTGACCTCGTTTCTTCTATGGGAATGGTATCTCACGTCGCGTAACACGGTTTGTCCTTACACGACGCGTCGCGTTGTACACTAACTTTCGAATTGTCACAGGAAACAATCACACGCCGATCAATAACTAAAATTCGTGACGGTCGAAAACAAAAAAAGAACATGTATACACTAACCTCATGGTTGCTTTGGGAAAGAAAAACAGAAAGCAAAGAAAGAAATGAAGCAAACACCAAGCAGGTTTATTTGGGTGGTTTACCAGCAGGTCCGTACGTCCGACGTGTCTGACAGCTCAGAGTCTTCTGACTGGTAAGGTGACCTTGCCTCCGCCTTTTTATACCCTCCCATAAGCTTCAGCCGCCGCGTTCAGCTGACGAAACCGGGAACATATCGTCGAAACGATAAATTTGTGTCCGGTTTTCCCTCAAATTTTCGCGTTGACTTCGCCGTTTGGTCACGTGCTGATGGCTCGCGAGTCGCGTGGACGTTATTTCGAATTGAGCGGGGTAGATGAACTTGGCCAGCGACGCACGCTGAAGCACGTAGATCGCGACATGATTTTTCGAAAATGAAGAGGTAAGGTTGCGCACGCGTCGCATGACGCAACGTGTGTTCCCTCTTCTGCAAGGAACGGTGTCTATCGATCGCATGTGCCGCCTTTCTTCTCGATCCCCACTGCACCGTTAGTGAAAAATCAGCCTGCAGGATGTCTATCGTTTTGGGAGGGGGCTAAAAATACATTCGATTGGGGTTCGTGGAATGCTACCCAACTGGATATTTTATTTGGACCGAATGGCTGTGTTAAATTTACTCTAACTGCTTTCGTCGAGTTTTATGCGTTTCTGAAGCGGAAGTTGACCGACGATTTAATTGACACCGGATTGCATTTACCAGGGGAATTTTAGAGCTAGCGGAATTTCAAAATTTTTATGTACGCGTTGCATGTGTTAATCAGCTTAGTGTTATTCATAAAACTGTTTATTTTCTTCGTGTTCTCATTATCGTGGCTCCAAAAATTGATAGCACAAATAGTGAAAATGATAGCGTGGTAGGAATTAAATATATGCCAATTAAACGAAACGATTGAGATTGGCCAACCTTTGCGTTGGATAACCTTTGCAACAGCATGAAAAAAATCAAACTTTGTTCAATACTTATCTCGGATCAGATCGGAGCAGACATCGGTTCTTTCTTTCATCGAATAATCTTGTCGGTAGATACAGTATCGACGCGCACATTACGCGTGCGTGTCCGCTAACTTCCTGGAATACACATTGCCGCGGTGTTCCATTTAGCTGAATCATATTCAGGAATACCGCGGGTTATGCAGTTTTAGAATGACGCAACGGATCTTCACATGTTCGTAACTTTACGCTCTACGTGATCGCAAGCACCTTTTTAACTACTCGCTCCGTTTCTCTCTTTTGCTCTCGAATGATCTTTCGGTTCCTACCGCGTAATTCTGTAGTTTAGAAAGATGGTTGCCGTGCCAATAAGCATACGTGAGAGGTGGCACGTTTCTCGTTTTCATGTAACCTTACGTTAGACTCGTCTTTTGCTAGTTAATTCCTTATTAATTCTCCGACTGTTGTATTGTAAAAGTTTTTGTATTCCATTTCTTACTCGTATCTATCTTGTAATAATGAAATAGTACTACAGAAATAAATCTTATGATATCTTGTATATACTGGCTTGTGACAAATCGAGACACTATAGAAAACTTTTATGTGTTAGACAAAACGTTTTGAAATTCTATTAGCGATGTTATAAAAAAGTGCAATTACTCTACCATGTAGTTACATCGCCTTTGTTGAAAAAAAATCACACATCACACTCTATGCTCATGGTGTCAGATATCGTAAAATATATATCAATTTGTATAAAATACCATATATATTCCCTGGTTTTGTTTGCATCTCAATGTCTTCCATGTTTTATCGTAATCAGAAGGAGACGGGATGAATGGTTATTACATTTCACAAAGATATTGCGTTTTTGCAATTGCAGTTTACATGCCGGACGTTAACTTGGGCCGCTGCGCCGCGTAAAAAACCGCCGCCGGGTGAAATTGACGTTCTCTGAGTAACGGAGCCGTCTCGTAATTATAATCATTTGCATCGCCATGGCTGGTGCATTTCGTCCTCTTGAACTCGGCGAGAAAATTGAAGAGAAATTCAACAGGGAAGCTGAGCAATGATTTGCTTCGCGCGCGAGCGCGCCGCGCTTCTGCCTTTCTTTTTGTTTTTTTAATGGTTTGAAAGTTAAATTGATCGACAATGCGTAACTACCATGTCATCGAACGGTGCATGGTTGTATAATCTTTGCATTACGTGCCACGTATAATTATCGAATTAAAGGACCTAGAGTCAACGTCCGAAATTAACGTGCATAACTGTAAAATCGAGCGATTTGGCTTTTTCATGACGATGTGAGGTACCTGTATACGCATCGTCTCTAAAAACAATTACGTATTTAATTTGTGATTGATTACCTTCGTTTTCCTTCTAACCAGATTTCGCGTTGCGTGAAATATATTGTGAAAAATATTGTGGGAGATATTACATTCTATCTAATCGTCAGAGATATATTTGTAAGAGCGATATTCGTTTTAATTGCAACTTAGACATAAAATTTTTTGTTTTGATGGTGGATAAACAAGATTAGAAGTTTTATTGATAATTTTTTGAAGTTATCTTATGAATTATTATGTATTGAAATAACATATGTTTGTGAGTGAAAATTATTATTAATTTTTCATGATGTAACGTGAGTTTTTTTTTTTCATTAATTTTTTTTTTCATCATTCGCGGGATAGGGACGATTCTGAAATGTTTCCAGATAATAGAAATCACGCGACAAGTGAACAGCTGACATACTTGATGATACATGACTCTCGTGTATGCTTCTTGGGAAAATATTTGTCATATAATTCAAACGCGCTTAATTTGGCAAACTATTCTTGACCATTGAGATCCTTACGAAAGAACCAGGTTGTTCATCTTCGTGAACATATAATGCCGTAATGTTCCTTCCTGTAATTGTTTTTTCCCCTACGGCCTACTAGGATGGTAGCTTGGTATTAATCCGTAATCAAAATGTTGCTACGTTACTTCGTCACAAGTAAAGTTCTTCTTTAAATTTTGCCAGATGATAAGAATACTGAAGCGAAGTCTCCAAAATCTCGATTAATAAAACTTGTCTTACAATAATTCTGACATGTTCGTTTCACGCAAAAAAAAAAAAAAAAAATCTGACAGTGATCGAAGTTCACACAAAGTCCATCCGCGGTGTTGAATCGAGTACCCAATTAATTCTAATGCGTTACACTTTATTACGACGTGACGCCGAGATAATTACATTCACCTTACATTCATCTTACTGCCAATTAGTAGAGAGTCGCGTACAGTTTCGGTCGTTGTCTTCTTTCGTTAAATCGCGTCATGATAAATTAATCGATCGCATAAAGTGCAAAACCAATCATCCAATTAGCCACGGTTCAGGCTGCAACATTTTTTTACAAGGTAAAACGGCGGTGGTGGCTTAGCTGTTCGAGAACCGGACTTTGTAAATCTTGCGCGTTGTTGCTAATTGCGCCGCAATTCGGTATCGATCCAGTGGACCGCCGCGAGAAGAACCGATCTCTCTACCGACTAATTGCATATCCCTCGCGCGTCACCGTCGACAAATTGTAAAAATAACTTCTTTCTTTTCTTTCTTCTCTCTTTTTCCTTTTTTATTTATTTCCTTTTTCGAACCGTACTTACAAATGGTCACTACTCGCACCGGATGTCTCGCAACCGTTCATTTCGTAATCGTTGCAACGAGCAGTGAATGTGGGGAAGAGAAAAGAAGGGGTGTGAGGAAGGGGGGGGAGGGAGGTGGCAGCTGTTTCAATTTTAAAAGGGCAAATACAAATTGCTCTTGTGTATAATCTCGCGGGGCAACATGGGCGGAGTTCTTACAATGTTGCGTTTTTATCGATGCACCGGATTGCTTCATGAAAATGTATACGTTCTCTGTACACGTTGCTGAAGTTACGAGATATTGAAATGAATTTTTGTTTGAATTGCTAATCGACGATGGCTTATCGCCTGCCCTTGTCGAATAATTTAATTATGTCCTGAAAATATTAACTTCCGTCTCTATTCTCACGACTGTTCATTCTCAAATGCTACATTTTTCAAGGGTACGTTGCAGCAGTCTGTTCGTCGAGGTGTTCTTTCCATGATAAGCAAATCAACGACGATGAACATTCTTCAGGATCCTTTACGCCGAACAAATTTCCTTTAAACCATGCAACGTTCAATTATTCATTCTCGTTCTTTTATCTAATATCGAAACTATCAATTCTCGAACATTTACTTGGTTAACGGGATCAATCGGAAGGGGGGAGGATTTGAGCAACTTCTTCGCTTTTCATCCTCGATTTAATCGACAGCGAACGAAAATAAACGTAATTACGCGTAATGGCACACGCAACACTTCCTATCGAATTACCCGAAAAGAGTGATTGCCCGTTAGCTTTATCCGCGTTACGTTTTACCCATTAAACACGGGTGGTCGTCGCGGCTTGGCGATCGTAGCGTTAAAAGGTGCATTCACGCGTGCAAAGGAAATAGAGAACTAGGATCCGCGGAGGAGAAAGGGTGTAGATCGCCGGCGAACTCAACAAGTGATTCGCCGTAACTATAAATAAACGGCGGCGGGACGGGTTGGCTCGCTCGTAAATCTGAAATCGGGGCATAATCGGCGTGCAATCTGGAATCTGACGCGGATCGAGTCGCTGCTCCGTGGGCCGGCGATCCACCGTGAACGGTCGCGCGCGCGCGCGAGCGCGAATTCATTCTCGATCACGCGTCACGCTTTATCCACTTGCGCTTACCGTCGACGGTAAGGCGGGATCCGACCGTTCGCGATCGGTAATCCAGGATCCTGCCATAAATCAGCCGCCTAGTACCGGGTCTCGCGCGGAGAAATTATTCCGCTGGAATTACTACTCCCTAGCATTATTACCTTGGCTGCGTTGACCTCCGAGACAGCAATTTCACCGAGCATGCGATCGCACGCTGGTCGTAAACATTGATCGCCGACGAGTTTGTGAAAAACTGGCCTTACGAGCGCCTTATCACTTACAGATAAGGTTTAAGACGATTTGATATCAATTTGGAAATTTAAAAGACGACGTAATCGTTGCTAGATTTTTTTTTGACGAAGATGGAACGTTATCGCTGTTGCGGAAGTATTCTACAATTTCTGTGACTCTGGATTGACTGTTGACGAAAAGTTCTACGCACGTCGTTATCTCTGTCGTTACTTCATTACAAACTTAACCTTGATACTTTAACAACAAGCTTTTGTAAACCGCCCGTAAAGTTCAGTGACAGAGATAACTAGAGTCGAACCAACTGTCTTTTTTTATGTTTCATCGAAACATTTTTCCGTTACGCGAGAATCAATGGGTTATCTCTACGACCGGAATTTGGTCTTTTTTTTTACGATTCCGATGGATTCGAGGTCGGGATCCTGATGGTCACGTATCGTATTAAGGGATGCAGCCGCGTTCATCTCGTGCCTACGATGCTTTATTGCCGCGGGTAATTACCTTCGCGAACGTATATCTATAGAGATTCGATTAGACGGCTATTTTCGTTCCACTGCTTATCAAGGTATTATGCAATTCCAGAAATTCACGTTGATTAGTTTCGCCGTCGCCAGATTGGCAATCAATGATACGTACGCGTCCAACAAGGTTCGCTTATCTCTCGACACAGTTCTGAACTGTGCATATAATCGAAAAGCAATCGAGCTTTTAAGGTCGTTTATCTCCCGACGTATCTCTTCGAATATAATTGAAAAGCCAAGTCGAACTTTTATACAATTCAATTCGCGTATCGTGTCGCATCGCAGCTTTTCTTCCGTCGGACGTGACAGGTGCGAACTGTTTAACGATTCGATACGATACGAAAAGTCCGTTCTAATAAATCTTAATTAATTTCGTGATAGAGAAGCCGGATGCTCTGTCCGATAAAAATATCGCGGACAACCGGTCGCGAATAATTTTCCGCGCGCTCGTTCGGCTTTATCACGCAGACGAAAGTGTTGCAAGAAACGAGTTTCGCCGTTAGTCGCGCCCGAAACACGAGTGCACGGGTCCGGACAGGAATCGGTTTCGGACAATCGGCCGGTATTGGCGTGATTTCGTGCCATTAATCTTCTCTCGACAATTAACCGGGCTGCAGGGCTAACGCAATGGTCGGCTATTAATTACAATCAACGCTATCTCACGCACGCCAGACTGATACGACGTTTAATCTTCCGCGCCCGAAAACGTTCGCTGTCTGAATTTTCGTCGAATTTTCGCCCAAATCGCTGCATCGATATTTAAAAATTTCAAAGATCACTCGCGGTAATTACGGATTACGCGATTAATTGTTGGCTCGCGTAGTGATTGCCGACTTCGCTTCGATAGTAATCAATGTAGCAGCACCTGAGAAAATCCGAGGAGAAAGGAAACGACGATTTCGAATGCGGAGAAGTCATTTGAGGCAGCTGGTTTATCTTGGTTCTCGTTGCAGCCGACAGATGCCGTCGTTATGAAGATTTTTTTTCGTAGATCTTTGCGACAAGATTTTTCAACATATCCATTTTTATCTCGATACATTGGAATATTCTTGTTTGAGGAATTTACTTTTCGCTTTATCGCGTGAATAATCTCGTATGGAGATTCGTTGAAATCGGGCAAGGCAAGCGATTCGAAAAAAGAAGCCGTAACATTGAACGTTTACTTAGAATATTTGTCACAGGGCGTGCACGGAGTACATAACTGTCGCAGTTATTATGAATTACGACTCGATTTCCGTTCGACCCGGCCACCATATATTTGATTTAATGAGGTAACAAGTGCAGCGAGGACTGTAGCAAGAACCCGAACAGGTGATTAATCTCACCCTGATTTCTACCTGGGAGCTTTGCCTGGATACATCCTACTTTGTTTAAAATGACATCTATCTTAAAAACACAGCGTCACTGGTCGTTAAAACTGAACTGGATATCCGAACCTCCTCCATTGACAGTTAATTAATCTTGTATTAGCATACTCTACGTTTCTGTGTTGTAAACTAGCCTACTTTATTCATTAGTTCCTTCACGTTTATGAATGAAATACGGGGGACACATCACAGACCACAGGTGTTGCGTGTCCTTCACCAAGACGCGGCACATCTTATCCTTATCTTACACGTTCAAGTGAAAATCACTTCGTAACAAATAGGCGAGGAAGAAAATTCTCTTACTGCGCAAAAGAAATTTATTATAAATAATATAGGAAATTTATCTTTAAACGTCGGATGCGCGAAACAACTAGGCTCTCTCGTATATAATTGAATAAATATCTTTCTTCTTCGGAGAGAGAAAAGAGAAAAGTGTTTACTTTTCCCAGAAGAAACAATCGTCGAATACCCGTATTCAAAGCCTAAACTAACGAAAACTACGTTTGACGAACGAAATATCAGAGGGTCGAATGACCGCAAAGAAGAGGAGCTAAATCTTCTTTACCTTTTCACGGAGCTATCGACTTTTTGCCGAGCTATCCGGCTCGGTTCCTTTCTTTTTCGGAGGATTAGTCACGCGCGTAGAGTCCTGCGGGCGACCAGTCTCGGTCGATTGATTCACAGGCTTGGCAGCGGGCCGGGAACCAGGAAGGATAAGGTAGTAAAAAGTGTCGGAAGACTCGGAGGGAAAAACGAAGGACGAGGATGAGAGTACGCATAGAGACTGAAGGAGAGAAGGGAGAGAAGCCTCCACGGCTAATGCATGCCATCAGGGGAGAGGGGTGAAGAGATCGGTGGGGTTCCCAGGTCCGTTGATTAGCGGATATCTTAATTACTGATTGGCCGCGCGGACTAATTAAATCGTAACTCAATCAAACACTGACCTGGCCTCGCACTCCGCCGTCTATCGCGGCGGTTTTACGGCGGCGACCGAATGCTTCGAGAGATCTGCCGTGCGTGCGTACATACGTGTCGTGGTCCCTTGCATAAACGATTCGAACGCATCGAATATTGCACTGTGCGAGAAAAGAGCCAGACAGCGCGTTGCACAGGCCTGCGGCCACTCGTTCCTTGCTCGTTCCTCCTTTTTACACCTACACGTGTCCCTTTTTCTCGTGGAGGCGCGGACGCCTTCTCCGGCCGTGCGATGAACCGAACCGCTGAGCTGCTCGAACCGGCGGGGCATTATGTCGGGACGAAATAAAAAGCGCAATAATTAGCAGTACCTACCGCGGTGTTTCGCTGGTGAACGATGTCCTCGGGATCCTCCTTCGTTTTCGCCCGTCTTCCGACGCTCTCTCGGGGGATTATGAATTTTCCTCGCGCCGGCTACGTCGCCAAATTATTTACTTCCTGGCCACTCGCTTGGCTTATGGCCAAGTCCGTGGCTCAATACCCTTCGGACAGGACAGGAAGCTGAATAATAACGACGACTGCGGATCGTAGGCAAAAGGGAGAAAACAGGGGTTCGTAGGGGGTGAGCTTGGAGAAACGGAATTGTGTCATTGGATAAGTAATCGCGCGGTTTGATATAAATTATGTACCCCGGGACGCATCATCGAGATAATACAGAAAAATGGCTTCACCTAAGAAGAAGCCGGTGCTTCGAAGATGAAGACGTTGTCGTGCTCCCCGTCGTTATTAGTGTGGCTTCCAGCCGCAGGAAACTCCTCGTGGCCTCTCTGTCTCTCTTTCTCTCTCTTTCACTTTCTTTCTTCCTCGTAACGTATATTCGTTAGCATGGATAATGAATCACTGGCGCGGTGCGTCCCCCGTGCTCCTGTCGCGAGAAGAAACGACGAAGAAATCGCTGATTGGTCATCGCGACGACAACGAGCCGCGTTTACATTATAGAGCTCTGGTCGTTGGTATACAATCCCCTGATCATTTCGAGAATACGAATCGAGAAACGAGGAGAAAGGGAACCAAGGGCCATTAAAAGCAGCGGGTACCGGCCTCGCCGCGATTCCGTCCCTGTTTCACGCGCTTTTTCCACCGAGGAGGAGTGTTGGCCGGGTTGGCTCGCTCGACGAAATTTCGACTCTGTAATCGCGGTAATGAATCACCGTCGATTATTTCGTACGATGCTTATACGGTGGACAACGATGCTTCGCTGAATACCATGAATAAATTTCTTCTTCTGGTCATCCGTAGGCCTAAGTAGGAACCGTTGTCGGATTCGTTACATTGAACACGGGAATCTCTCTCTCTCTCTCTCTCCCCCTTCGAGGAGAGACAACTTCATCGAGGGTTTCGACGGTAGCGTCTCTCAGAGAAGCGTCGACGCCAGAACACGTTGACTAATGCCACCGCTGACAGAGACAAAAGGCCCGTGATCGGCGAACGCGAATTTTATAACAGATTGCCGTATCGTTGACCATCGCGGCCTCGAAACTGACGTTCTTTATGTTTGTAATAGCGATCGTTTTATCACGAGCGGTCGCCGGTGGCGGGACGGTTAACCGCCTCGTACGTCCACCAATTAATTATCCCTGGTCTACATTAATCTCGGCAAATTGGCCGAAATCGTCCGAGTGGCGTGCGCGTGGGATTTATAGCGCTTCCCTTATTCATCGGTCGTCCGACGAGAAAGAAAAAAACACATTACGTTCGAAAAACAAACAACTGATCCTACGAGAGAGATCTCATAGATCCTGCCAATTCACCCGAAAGCCCGTCGCACTGCTGGCTTCTGTGCCTTCAATTCTACCAATTCGACAAGAGCGACGAAATCGTTGTTTCTGTTTGGTGAAACAGATTTATACAGATTTATTCCAAAGTATGAAGAATTGATTTTTGAGTCTCATAAATGGCTCTGCAAGAGTTCTCCGTAAGTTCTTGCTCCTCCATTGTGTACGGATGCCGAAGAAGCGTTTGTACGCCATTCCTGCCAACTATACAGGGCAGAGACATGTAGACATCTTTCTCCAGGCCGTGCCGACAACCCTGAGAACAACCAATGATCAACCAGTAGAGACATGAGTAGAGAAAAGAGAGGGGAGATAAAAAAATTTTGATTTAATCGTAACCTTTAAGTACGTGGACAGGGTGATGCAGATACAGGTATTTCGAACGATGGCGTCCACGACCTCGGCAGCGCAGATACCAATGCCCCAGCAGCGATATCCCTTTCTCGTGATAAGATCTTTATCGGACTCGATTACTTTTGCGTGTAATTCACCCCAAGACTCTGGATCCGTTTTAGTACCGATATCTTTGTTGATGTCCTTCAGTTTGATGCCCATGACTGTCACGGCGGACCAGATGGGCACTGCTCGTCAACGTTCAATGCACTCTTTCACATACAGTGGCGATCAAATGTAACGATTAATAGGATATGTGCGTTCATTACCAGACGTGGGCCCGTTCTCGCAAATAACAGAGGCTTGCACCGAGCTCGCCGAAATTCCAAGCTTCTGCGCGATGAAGTACTGTAACCTACAGCTGTCCAAAAATGTCCCCAGCCCCATGACACGGTGCGGCGGGAAGCCTGAGAGTTTCATTGCCGCGTACGACAGTATGTCCACTGATACGCGACGTAACGTCGTCATTACACACCGCGTACGCGATATTTAGAAAAGGAAAAAGAACGTAGAACGCGAGACTAGCGCTACTCGTACCTGGTGCCGTTACGATCAAAAGTATGCTGTTTGGCGCGTACTTGCAGACCTTCGGGATAACGTCCTTAAAAATAGTCAAATTATTATCCAACAGAGAGCCGTCGTCTTCGCTCGTTGCTTTATCCCCCACGGTGATCACGCACACCGTCGCCTCTCTGGCCATAGAGTAGTCTGCGATGGTCCCACGGTTGATGTATCATCGCGATTTCCTTTTATTAACAATCTGTGCCGGGGAAAAAACAGGAGGATGAAATTTATTTTCACCTTTGGTGCCGAGAATCTTCGGATCGCCGAGGAACGCCGCCGCGTGGCTGATGTCTTCCGCCTCTGCTTTCGCCAATTCCTCGTCCGCGTCTATGAACACCACCTCCGAGGCCAGTCGCTGCAACGAGGATTACAGGGAGTAATTAACGGGAACCAGCCGACAGTCGGAACGTTATTACGCACTCGAAACTGTTACGCAATCAAGGTACCCCCGCGGGAATCGCATTAAGCGCGCGATCGATCGCGCCATTCGAGCAATTCCTTAATGCGAAGGATCGTTAGGATCTCTGATGGCTCTCCTCGTCACAGCGAGGCCGACTATTCCGCCTCCGAGAGGAGAGGACCACTTGTCTATCACCGATCTTTCTCTGTTCCTCGCAAAAGTTACGTAACATGAACTCGATGAAATTGAAGATTTTTCGCATTGTCTCTCTGTGTAATTATCATTGGACATCGTAGTTCCACTTGTTCGGAACGTCTTAACCGAGCGAGATTCCTTCGTCCGACTGGATAATTAATAAACCGGGGCTCGCGTTAAGCTTTCTCTCGCGTTGACTCTTCTATCGCGTCGGTTCTTGTCGAAAGAAAGTGTTATTAGAGGCTTGGAACGTCGAAAACGGTTGAAATAATTGATCGCGCAAATCGAGAACGTACCTTGAGGCGATAACGTATTTGTCAAAATCTCGTTTCCTCCTCGTAATTGATGTTCCTCTATCGTCTAACGTCTATAATTTCGTGTGGAGATTTTTTCCAGCGACACCCCAAGAGAGCATCAATCGTCGTGCGTTCTTTTTTTTTTTTTTTTTCTTATTCTTCTTGTAACTCGGTAATTTCTCTTAATCACGGTCTAATTCGTCCGGTTGAGTAATAGGGTATCGGTGTGGGACAAGAGCGCGCGCGCGTTTTCATAGCAAATAGCCAAACCGTGGCTACGTCGCGGTGGATGCCCCATTCGCTCTTACTTCCACGCCAGCAGATGGACACATTTTTCTCTGACAGATGGTGCTTTCACACGTTAAGACAAACCCGCGGCTACCAACAGAAACGGCTTCTTAATATATTACGTTACGCCCTTGTGCTTCCAATCTGTTATTGTACACCGCTTAATCACCATACTTCATCAAGCATGACTTCCGCAGCATGCATAATATCGCAGCTGATGAAGTTTCCTCGCCAGAACCCGCCAACCATCGATGTTCCTCCCTTGTTTCTTCTCTTCTCCTCCTCTCCTTTCTCTCTTTCTCTCGCTCTCTCTCTCTCCTTTCTCTTTTGCCCCTCTTTCGACCCCTCTCGTGTAATATCCACACGTATCGCGCGACGATATTGACCGGTAATTAACTCGCAAAAACCCTCCTCCGCTGTGTGTATTTTGTAACGAGATTTTTAATGGCGCATGACCGCGAACAACCACCAGAGTGGAAGAGAGAGAAAGAGAAAGAGAGAGAGGGGAGGCATTAACGATTCGGGACGAAGTGTTGTACGTCGTGTAATTTGCATTCGATCGAGCAAAACCAACCGCCGACGGCTTTCCTACTTTCCTCGTACGAGTCTCTCATGCGGTTCTAGTTACCTAGATCAGCGAATGTTTCACCCTTGGCTACCCTCGATCGATTCCGCTTCAGAGAAGCGCAGCTGATCACAAGACCCCGAACATCCCCGACACCCGATCCGTCACACGTTTTATTACGCTGCGTCGGTTTTTATCATGTTTCGTCATTTTCAAGTCGAGCTAGCTCGCTGGTAAACACTGCCATTTTAATCATTCGTTATAACCAATAACAGTAACACGAACGATCGAACTATCTTCTTCCCTTCGTTCGAATAACAACAGCAACGACAACTACCGTAAATGAAAATGAAATATGGCGCGCAGCGGGCAAAAAGCTTTCCACTGCCGGTGAATTACCGACCCGTGAGAGATGGTTTGTACGATTTAATGCGGCCCGACAGACATGACACGTAACAACGGGTCGGCCAACTTGACTGAGAACAAGAAGAAGATGAACGTCTTATGCAACGCACTACCGAGCGAGCTGGGCGTAGCGGGCTCGCAAGGTGGACAGTAAATCGTGGAGATGGTACTGGAACGCGATCATCTCGTTGATGCGATCTGCCAAGCATGGTACGATCGCCGGTATAACCGCTCGATTCACTTGCTCCTCCGCTCCTTTTTTATCCCTTCTCACTTCCCCTCTCTTCTTTCATCCGCGATCTTCGTCTCCTTCTTCGCTTCGATTCGCCGTCGTCGTTGATATCGAGCATTTTGGGGCGATATCGGAGCCGTTGATGATGGAAGATCTCGATGTTTCACAAAGAAAATTACAATACAGTGTCCAAACGAGTGTCCGTGCGGAGAACTATCATTACGGGTCTTGATGACAGATTGAAATAGCAGCAAACGGGAACATCGTGGCCTATTAGAAACATTGTAAACTTGATTGTACAACGTGATTCCGCTCGAGGAGTGTAACGACAGTCGGATCCCCGCCCCTGACGTCCACTACGCGCGGCCTTCATTGTTTGCCACCGTAACGATCCACGGAAACCGAAACCTGGAATTAGTCGCCCACGTTCATTACCTCCTACCGGAATGTGGCTAGCGTACCGATTACCAAGCTCGCCGCTCCCTTCAATCCAGCGTTCATCCCAATCGTTTCGCCGCCGACGTTTTCCTTCTACCCAACCAAGTCCGTGAGACCATTACTCGCAACGGTGCGTTTGCGCGAGTTGCTCGATTAATCCATTGGAAACGGAACACCGAGATGGTATCGTTCGCGTGAACAACAAAGGAGAGAGAAAAGAAAATAACAATGTTCGTATCAGAGACGTACAAAAAATTTCTGCAAAGTGTTTCGCTCTATCCCATACGAATTCCACTTCGCAATTACGACGCTGAAAAGGGGCGGAATTTCATAACGTGATTCGACTCGAGGGAAAACTTGCAAATGAAAGGGCCGGGTTAACGCAACGTTGGCCCTTAATGGCTTAACCAGCTGGATCTCCCTCGTTAGTTACACGAGAAAGAATATGAAACGTTACACTCTGGGGAACAGCGAAACGATTCGTAATGACAGCGTCGTTCGTATGGGGCCACGCATCGACAAAGGGGGAGGACTTTTCAATTTCGCCTTAAACCGCCGCTTCCGTGGATGGCAGGCGGAGGTGCACGCACGAGAAAGAAACTGAAGGCCCGCTCTCTCCTCCTCCCCCTCTCCCCCCCTCTGGATGAGCAGACGCGATAAGGGTTGGGTGTCCTCGTAGACGGGTATGGATTTCAGGTTTCCACCTCTGGTGACTAGAATAAATCAGCGCCGCGACGATCCTGCGGGGGCGTCCGACGTGTAAATGCTCGCGTTACGATCCGATAACGAGCGGGGAGAGGCACGTTCCTCCTTCGTCCTCGTTCCAAAGTCTCGGCCGCCTCGCGTCGCCGAGTTCCCCTCTTCTGGCCTTTCGTCCATCATTTGCATAATATCCCTTTTTCAACCCGGCCAACACTAACGAGCCTACTATTCAGCCCGGTCTCCTCGCATCAGTGCACGTATACGAGCGCACACGCGCATATACCTGGGATATTCCTTGCCCTTTGTCGACCAACGGCAGAATATATATAGGTCCTAGGATGTTGCTACCGCGATGATGATTCCCTTGGGCAAACACGAATCACGCGCAGGTAGACTAAAGAGCGCTCGGACATCAGAGCGTTCAGAAGCGCGTTTGCCCCCTTTATTGGAGTTGCAAGTTCTTTGGACAACTACCGCTTGATTTCTTTTTTTTTTTTTTTTTACTTTGAATCGTAATGATTTCGAAGGATAAATCGAGTCGGATGGAAATTGAGACATGATTAGTAGGTTAGAAATATTAAAAATATACGAACGACGAACCTTGAAGAGGATCGCAATCCCAACCGCAACTCCGGTGTAACCGCTGCCGACGATGACGATCTTAACGCGATGACTCTCTACAAAGTCCTCCGGCTGCTTGGTGAGCAGAAACGTCGTGGTGTTCCAGACGGTGTCGAGTAACTTCTTCTTGGGCACGGCCATCGTCAACGAACCCGATACTCGTGACTCGAGTGTAGCATCCCGAAAATAAATAGATCGGAGACCCGGGAGTATCTCTGTAATACTCTATAAATTTCACGTGCGTCACATCTAACTCGAAAAGTGACAGTTGCGTCGTTCCATTGAGTCTGAAATTGTCTATTCACGCGGTTGATTCCCTCGAGACAGGATCGAGATCGATTGAAGGAAGGACAAAGGGTGTGTGTATCTTTTCAGACCTTTTCAAGAAGTTGCCCTTTCGATCCCTTTATGGCGCGAGATAACGACGAACGTGCGAAATCGATGGACAGCTGTGAAATCGGCACAGATGGGCTACGCCATTACCGAACGCGTGTACGAATTTCAATTTCCGCTTTGCCAGTCATACGAGAGGGGAGTTTTTCGTCGGACACTTGAGATCCAATTGCTCGTGACACCGGGCGTCCAACTCGAATATTAAATTGCTAATCGAACACCGCCCCCGTATTAACTTCCTTCCTCTTTCAGCATAATATTGCCGGAAGTATTCGAACAGTCGTTGACTAATTACCAAAGCTGCCTTCGATCGTCCCTCGGATAAATCAACAGCGACCAACACGATACGTACAACAACAGCGCAACAGTGGTAATTTATAATAATGCCGTGTGTACGCGCGCAAGCGTGTTTGTTTGTTTGAAATACGTTCTCGATCTTTTCCTCGCGATAGATCGCATCACGAATTATCGACGCGCGGATGATCCATCGACAACCGTCGCGAATAGCTCATAATACGACTCACAAAGCAGACGAACGACGACCGCGGTCGTTCGCGAGGGACGCGATAGTTTTCTAGGAAGTCAATTCCTGTACTGTGTCATTTATTATGCCGAGTACGCGTACAGAGAACCGGTCGCCAGGTGCGCGCGCTCGTTATTGATGAAGACGCCTTCTAAAACGCCGCTTCCTCCGGCTCGATCTCGCGCTCCTGCCGCACAATTTCCGGTAGCAGGCAGTCCACTCAGCCAGTCTCGCGACTCTGCTACCACGGTTCCTCTTCCCCTCTTCGCTCGTCTTTCACTGTTCCACCTCGTTGTTTGTCTCCTGCAGGATCCCGCATTCTCTCAGTATGCCTCGAATACTGTCAGCGCACGTCTGCACCGCGGATTTCTCATGTTCCGACAGCTTCTGCCGCACCGTGCAGTAGACACCCTCTCGACCGATCACGCAGGGCACCGACATGTACACGTCCTTGTCTGTGCCGTGAGCGCAACTCTGCGGACAGTGTGTTTTCTTTCTTTGTAAAACGTGTAAATTTGTAATTTGATTACGAACGTTCGAAACCTGACAAACTGTACACCTGGTGATGTACGAAAACTTGATTTAAAAAGAAAGAAAAGAGAAACGTTGGGGGATACGCGTCACCGTCGAAAATTCAGAATTCGACGTAACGAATCTCGAGGATTTTTCGACTCACGAGAATGTGCGTTGACGCGGGAAGTACGACTTTGGTGTTCCTAACAATGGCATCGACGATCTCCGCCGTGGAGACAGCGACTCCCCAGCAGCACGATCCTTTCTTCCCCTCCAGTTGCGCGCCACTGAAACGTGCACGCGTAAAATAAGCCTAAACGATCTCGTTTCCCTTTTAACGATCTCCTCCGCAACGATCACTCACACGTTCTTCACGTTGTCCGCGATTTCGTACCACTTCTCGGGATCGTCTCGCTCGCCTATCCTCGAATTTATATCGCGAAGCTTCATTCCACCTACGTGGATGCTCGACCATATGGGAACTACGAAAAGATACGTCACTCGGCATGCGATAATGCATTTGTTATCTGGTTATAAAATACCAGCCATGTCGCCTTGCGCCCCGACCACCATGCAACTGACTGAACTTCGCGCCACGTTTACCCTTCGGCTCAGGTAATCTTGAAATCTCACACAGTCTATCACAGTGCCGACACCCAGGACGCGGTTCGAGGGAAATCCCGACAGTTTCCAAGCGACGTAGGACATCACCTCGTTCGGTGGCGTAACGACCAGGAGAACCGATTTGCACGCGAACTTTGCCACGGCAGGTATAATCTTCTTGAAGACCTTCAAATTGTGCTTCACATTCGGCTTCTCGCCAGGTTCGATTTCGTTCGTGCAAATTATCACCACTGCCGACTCCTTCACCATACTGATCTCTGTTGGAATAAATTCGTAAATTCGGGAACGTTAGACTTTTGCTCAAATTAACCTTAAGCGTTTTTTTGCTTTGTTTTGAGAATGTGCATTGGTGTGCTTAATTATTTCATTCATTAAAATTAGAATTTCATTATTATGTTAACTCGACGACAAATACAGCTACGAGTTCGTACAAATATTGACACGCTGTTAAATTCTTCACGCGCGTGGTTCGAGCGATCAGGCGATCGGTGGAATTCTGGTTGGAAACAGTGGTTACACCACTGAGAGAAGAAATCTCGTAAATTCGGTTAACGCGCGTTCGTCGAATGCTTATGCGAAACACGTTCCACCGTAACGGAGAGATAAGGATGGGCCAAAGAAAGGATCGTTAGAAGTCGGGCATCCCTTTCTGGAAATCTCTCGCTGGAAACGTCTCGTTCGGTAATAAAGCCATCGGAAGCTGCTGGAATACAAAACGCTGCTGGAAGGGATCGAACGTATGTATGTATGTCCTCTTCTCCGTGTTCTCCGAGAGGATTCTCTCTCTTTTGTCCGGGAGAGATTCCACCGATAACCGAGAACAGTGCACGACATAACGCGCGGCCGAGAGAAATAAGAAGCACGGATTTTAGGTAACACCTTTACGAAGCTCGGTGTGACCGTGTATCGCGAGCGAGATACACTCGTTGCTACACAGAGATGCCTCGTTCGAGATAAATTAACTTGGTAAAGAGAAAACAAAAAAAAAAAAAAAAAAGAAATAAAGCCGGAGAGTCTGTTCTACTTGTTGTTCCGGTAATTGCTACGTTCGGACGCGCACGAGATTAAAAAAGAAGATGCGAGTACGGATCCGCGAGGTAAATGTTGGCGAATGGATTATTTTTCAAGGATCGTCGCCAACTGAGCTTGCCAACTACTCGAGTTTTACCAACCGATTACACTTGCTGGTAAACGGTGCAAAAACGACAACCACGGGAGACAGTGAAACCCGATCGAAAACTTTTCGCTTAAAATTCAAAGCCGAAGATTTACGGCCGCGAAATAATACAAAGTGAAGTCGACTGGGAACACGTGTAGCTGCAAATCGTGGCTCACGAAGTCGCGTCGTCAGACCGGTAAATTGCCAGCTCGGGGACGGTGTTTCCACCGAGTGGATGGCTGTGTGAGAGAGAGAGAGAGAGCCAAGCTTTTGTTCCCGAATTCCGGAGCAAGTATATATATATATATTTTTTTTTTTCTTTCTTTTTTGTTTGTTTCACAAGCCGAGCCACGTTTACCGCCGGAGGCCGCGCACGGATGACAGAAGGACGCTCCGCGCGAAGAACGAAGAGAAAGGGACTGGAGAAACTGAAAAAACGAGACGAAAAAATATGTATCGCGGAGTCGATCACGGCCGAGATAAATAAGAGTGGCACGAAATTTACGAGCTGGCCGGTGAAAAGCTCGGGGAAACGCTCTTGCTGCGGCGGTCCGCGTGTAAGCACGCGGCGATGTAGATGAGCAAGGAGATTAAAGGACAGGACCCGGAGAAAAGAGAGGAGGCTCCGGATCTCGGAACTCTGCTCGCCGTCCCGAAAATTCATTCCTCTCTCTCCCTCCCTCCCTCCATTTCAGGACGGTGACCGTTCTTTCTAACCCGTTGCACGTTGACAGAGAAGGTCCCTTGACGAGCAACTCGATGCGACGGCAGCGTCTTTTAAAGGCGGTACGATCGCGATCGACGCTCGCCTCAGGCATTGTCGGCTCTCGATCTATCGACCCGGATTTTCTGGAATTCGACCTGCTGCAAGCTGGATTTATCAATGGCACGTCCGCTGACGCGCGGAAGGAATTACCACGCGAAGCGTTCAGCTTTTCGACTGCTGCTTCTTTGGCAGCAAGTAGGCCGTGAACGATCGAAAAACGTGGAACGTTAGTCATCCCTTTTGTCGCTTGTGTTTCTGTTTTAGGCGCATAAATGCACTGAACGTTTCGAAATATAGAGCAAGTCTCTGAGTTCATGTGATAACCTCGTAAGGAAATTGCAAATTACACAATTTACAATTTTCACAAGTGAAGACTTGATATTCATCAGGATCAATTGAATTGAGATATATATATATATATATATATATATATATGAGACTGTCAAGTACCTGACGTGCCAGTTACTAATGGACATCCCAAAAAAACGCCGACGTGCTGAATATCCTCGGCCTCGGCAGAAGCCTTGTTCGCGTCGTGGTCGATCAGGCAGACCTCGCTGGCCATCCTCTAAAGATCACGGGGAATCAAACGGTTGATCGAGCATCGCGATCGCGCGCGATACTAACTCTCATCAGGATCGCGATGGCGCAAGCAATTCCAATCTTCCCCACGCCGACGATCGACACCTTGACGCGATGCGGATAAATGTCGCAGGGGCCAAGCTGGGTCGTTATCAACGCGTTCTTCGTCGTGGTCGTGATCGGCACGTCTTCCTGTAACCGGATCTAGCGTTGAGCGAAACGTTCCTCTCAACACGAACGGAGAGTAAGAATTCTATTAACACGTTGACTGCCACGTTGGTCACCTTTGTGACCCGAAATTGTTTCCTCGACGGGACCACGGTGGTCATCAGTGATCGGAGTGCTTCACAAATATGTTGAATTTCGAAGTAAAATAAAATGAATGTCATCAACTAAGAAATTTTGAACGTCATAGCTGACTAGAGAATGAATATGAAATAAAAAATGCACTGTCCAACGAATAAAGATTTTAATTAAAACATTATATCAAAACATTGTATCAAAAAAATTAATTATAGTGTATTGTATTAAATGAGGCTGGCCATCGCAATCTTTTGTGGCTCCCTGAGAGCATCATGTAAATTTAGCATAGCAGTCAACGTGCTAATAACTTGCCATTAATATCGAATTTCATGGGTCGTTAATCAATTAGTGATCAAATTATTTCAAAGCGTTAAAAAACCGATTATTTAAGAACAAGTGTGGAAGAATGTATTCAAGCACTTACATCTTCGCACTCCTCCCTTTCGGTTTCAGCTTCGCTCTTGGCAGCTTCCGCGTCGTCCATTTCGGGACCTGAAAGCGAGTGCGGGCGTTTAATTCGCCAGTTTCATTCGGTCGAATATGATCTCTCTCCGTATACCGGTTAGCCAGCTAATTGGGTGCAAGTAGAGTCGTTTCGCGAGTTCAGCTTGCCAGCTACTTCATCCACGTTATAGTTGCTCGCCCGGTCGCCGAGGTGGTCGCTGTTCCTTTCAATGCCCCCGTGGTCAGCAAACGGCGTGATCAGCAAGTAGAGAAAGGTCGTCGTTTGTGGCTCTTACGCAGATCCGGATCAACCTACGCAACGACGTTTGAGCAGACTGCCAGCTATTTCAGACTAATCGCGTTCTCTGTTACGAGAAACTCTCTCGGTGAAGGAAGAGAGGCACGGGAAACTCCGGGACGGAGAATAACGACGGAAGTTATCCGCGCGCCTCTGTTGTAAATTAGCCGCAGGTAGTCGCCCCAGGAGCGCAGGTACATCGCGCCGGATTGTTCATATATTTCTACCCGGTACCCACGCGCGCCGCTGTAAAATACATTATTTTCGTGCGTTTCGATCGCGGCACCACCACGAGATACTCTCCTGCGTCTTTATTTACCGGCACCGGCGCGGCGATACCTTTCGAATAGGTTTACATTGGCATGCTGTTAAAGTTTTATTAACAGTTTTCCATTTGGAATGCTAATTCGGGGAACGTTTTGTGAAAATTACGACTCGCCGAGAATTTTTACGAGAATCTATACGCATGATTTTTAATTTAGGAGTAAAATTAAGATTTCCAAATGTCGAAATACATTGTGACACGTACGATATATAATGCGCTCATTGTCTAAAATATTCTCGTAGGACGTTGCTTTTTAAAATGTTTCATCTTCTGTGTATCAATTATGTCCCATTTTTATGACGATGGTTCTTGGAAACGATTCACTTTCACCGAATCCTTTCTTAACACTTTACCTATCGCTCATGATGGAAGTTGCTCATTAACAATCGACTCATGCGCGAGAATGCATGTGCCTATTTATCAAGCTACTATGTTCAATATAATTACTCGTAAACTAATATTCGTATATATAATACCTTGAACGTAATGATACTCTTCGCGAAATGAACTAATCTTCTAAATATTTCTTTAAAGTATGATACCGCTCGTAATAGTCACTTTTATTATATTAATGTTACAAAATGTACAGACGAAAGGTGTTTTGCTTCTTATTTTTCTTGATGCACATACTCTACATTGTCTTTGGGGGTCCATCTGATTCGTAAACATCAACCAAAATCGATCGATAATCGTTGACCATCGAAAATAGATCGGCTTCTGGTAGATAGAGTGTTGACATCTTCCACCATCGACACGATCAACATCGTGTACAAATCATTCGGTCACAGCGAGAAACCAATTCTCTCGCGCTTGGAATTTCAAAGGAAAGATACGTGAAGTTCATCAGACACTTCTCGCGTAACCGTACAGTTTACACGTGCGAGTAATTCGCGTGGACTGGATTCGCCGGGCGGAACAAAGAACAACCGAACCCTCGGCGCGAGACTTTCTCATTTACCTTGGACCCCTTCGATAAATTACGCCCCTTGTTTGCTCGGAGCAGCGGCAGCCGAGGCGTTCCCAGTAGTTGGAGCGTCGCGGGACCTTAACACACATTCGAAGATGGATCTTCCTCTCACAGTGGGGAAAGAAAGACGAGGGGAAGGAGAGAGAGGAGAAAAAGAAGAGCAAGAAGAAGAAGAAGAAGAAGAAGAAGAAGAAACTGGTGGCTCTTTTTCGTACGTGGTCCTCGCGAGTGAGCGTCAGGTTGCTGCTACTTCCACCCCGGACACATTCAATTTTAACGTTAATAATCACCGGGAAAAATGACGGGCTTAAATGCGGCCATTCATCAGCGCCGATCGATATTGCGAATACGGCTTAACGACGGAGAGATAACATCGGCCGCGTACCGGTCCAGAGTTATTGAATCGCGTCAAATAATATACGAGCCAATAATGTATGAATAGTCCTGCAATTATGGGCCCGCGATCATATCTAAGGGTGCGTTGTAATTTAGTAATCGTTCGTTCTCGCCGACGATTCGACGAATATCAGGGAGACCCGATACGTTTCTGTAAACGCGTCCTTTGTTTTCTTCACGTTATCATCGTGGCATCGCTCGACTACCGATATTTGGAACTTGCTATGGCCGTTTCGATGCGATCCGTTGATAAAGGAATTATCGCCTTATTTGGACAGTAAACGTTTCTGGTGATTTTTCTCGAAGCAAACGATGGGAAGGAAGGAATGCTAGTTCGTAATGCTAGTTAAAAGTCGATGTCTATCAATTACCTAAACGATCGGCGAGCAACGTCGAGGCGAGGAAGTAATTTAACGCTCGGACGTTTATAGTTGAGCGCGGCAAGTGGTAACGAAACGACCTGCTCCTCGGGTAATTAATTTCCCGCTTTAATTAATCATCTGCGCGATTTTATCGGGCAGCGCTGGGTCAACTAACAATAACGATCGCGTAAAAGCCAGGATCCCCCTCTCGCCCAGTTATCACCGGTCGTTCGTTGCACCGCTCGAGTTAGTATCGTGGATCTATCAGTACCAATTAACGAAACGGTCGACCGTCTGTGACTAATTTCCAGGCTGCCCCTTTCGATGCAACTACGACGCGGAGTCACGGTTCGCGTTTATCGCGTGCGTTGGAAGAGGGAGAAATAGAAGAAACGGGGTAGGCGAGGGAAAGAATTGCGAGCAACAATAACCGAGAGGGGGGGAGGGGGGATCGCTGCGGGCGTTTATGATTAATTGGCACGAAACTAGCGAACGCTTTTTTTAATTAACCACCGTGGCACGAAACGTGACAGCGGGAGAGCTGGAATCGGCCGCGATAAAGGGGCGATCGGTCGATAACGATGTCTCCTCTTGGGAAGGAGCGCGGACCGAAGAGGAGGATTCAACTGAGCGAACGGTGCAAACGAGTCGCCTCCACGAGATAGTCCTTGAAGGTTGGTCGTAAGCAACCGATCTTGTGGTACTCGGGGTCCAGTCAACCGATCCAGACACCGGCTCGCGCATGCCTGCGGTGCACAATGCTTGGTAGTACCGCAGCTGATACAAGTATGTTCGCCGTGCAACCGGAATTTTAATTGGCTATTTGTTTGTCCGCTACACTTCGCGGCGCTGCTATTGTCCAGCCTGCCGGAGAAGAACGATCACCGTTTCTTCCCTTCTCTCCTCCCCCCTTCCATTCTCTTTCCTTTCTTTTCCTTTTCCCTCTGACTTCTGGTTTCTCCCCTACCCCTAACTTCGTTCCTTTTACATGACCTCGTTTGGTTCGCTTTTCACCGACATCGATGGTTAGTCCGGCTGGAGGAAAGTCACTCCTTTCTCCTCGGTGAGAGTGCAGTCCGTCTCTCTTCTCGTCCATCCTCCCCACATTTCCTCCTACGTCGATTCTTTTTGCTTGGCGCTCGGTGTCTAGTCGATGCACGGCTAGCGCCTCGAGTGAGGCAACGATTTTTCGACGCCGCCCTCCCCCGTTTCAAACGATCCAACGAAGATTAAGACCGGATGAAATTGCAGTTATTACCGGCCGGACGACGGGCCCCTGCATCTATAATCCCGCGTCACAATACGTATCGTTTCGCGGTACCACTTATCGAGTCATTAAGCGTTATGCGGTGTAATTGCGCGCTTTTTACCAGACTGCGCTTGGTACCACGACGTGCATTAATCATCGATACGATCTTCTTTCGACGCCGCCATTGCGAATGTCTCAATTTAGCGCGATGCGAACGCAGCTCCTCTCCTCTCCTCTCCTCTCCTCTCCACTCCACTCCGCTCCGCTCCACTCCTCTCATCGCCGTTCCAGTCCGGTCCACCGTCACGGATTTATCTCCGTCGAATCTAATTTCGCCTGCTGCCGCCTGCGCGGCCAAATACGAATTTAATTCGGTCGACCACCCCGTCCCGAGCCGGGGCACTCCGTTCGGTAACGCGCTCTAATAAATTAGCAAGCGACGGGCCCGCGATTCGGTTTAATCGCCGGTGCAAGAACCGGCGCGGGCCACTCGCTCCGTACGGATCGCTTGTGCGCGCGAGCGCTCCGGCGCACCACCACTCGCCCCGAGCGACCCAACTCGCAACAATTCTCAAGCTGCGCCATTCTCTGCACGTCTTTTTGCACGTCCCGCGAAACTTATTCCAATTAAAATCCTACCTCTATTTTAGGTCAGCCTTCGGTTCGGGCTTCAAATTAAACGGCCGCACCCTCCCAAATAAGCGACCAAATTCGGACCTTGTCGCCTTACGCAAGTGCCTCGCGATCCTCGCCAAACTCCTCGGTCGATCTTTTATTTTTCCCCGGCTTGTTTTGCTCTTTGATCGTACGCGAGTGCCGCGCACGTGCGGACGATGCCGAGTTGTTGGCGAAACGCGTCGATCTCGATCCCAGTTTTTTGATAAATCGCGTTTACGCTATCTATCGACGCAGATTCTCGCGCAGATCGGTAACTCGATAACTCTCGATACAACAACAAATCTGTGAATAGTTTCTTTCAATACGTAAATTCTCATGGCACGATCTTTCCTGCCCACGTATCGCCGAAGAAACTGCCAATTACGACCAAACTTTAAAAACTCGAGTTGTAAAAACCCGACTCACCTTGCGTAACATCAGATATACCTCGGTCGAAGCTTTCGATGCAAGAGCGAAACCACTTCGTAAAAGCCGCTGTTATGAGCAATCGGACAATATTCCCGGCAGCATGGCGCGCGCGCGCGCGCGCGCGTGTCTGTTTCAAAGACACGAGGAAGAAAAGGAGCACGACGATCCTTGGAGTCCACGAAGAACATCCCTCAGCTAGGACTTGGATCGGACGCTTGTTGTTCGATCGTAATTGCAGCGTTTACCTCGTTACGAAAAATCCTTCCGCGACGGAGCAGCACAGTCGTAGGAGGTCGTAGGAGGTTAGCAAACAGCGGCGACCCCTGTGGCTCGCTGAAATATCGCGCGGACGACCGTCCGTGGTGGTTCGTTTCGATATTCCTGGCCCCGGGGGCCTCGATGAGCGGCCGGAACTCGTCGACTCGGCGATGGAAAGGAACATGAGAGGAGGGGGAGGGGGCAGTAGGGTGCAGGGCCGGTCGAGGGGGTGGAGGACGGCGGCGAAGAGAGACCTCTCGTTTTATTACACCGTATCGGGAAGGGGCGAGGCCGATGCGCAATTGTTTATGCTCGTGTCCCGCCCTATCGGACGCATCGGATACACTCTCGGATACCTACC